ATGAAACCAAAAAGTCGATGTTCTAGGAATTTTTCTGCATTTCCAGCGACGCCCGGAACCAGTCTCCGAACGAGAGTAAAGAGTCACAACCAAAACACAGAACAGCTGTTAAAGAACTTTAATAACTGTTGTGGAAATTATCTGTAAAATACCAAAACACAAGAAGATTAAGAAGACTGTCTGTGTTGGTTTATTACATTTGCAACGGTAACAAACTGTTCCTGTGCTGACAGAGGTTCTGCTGCTGTGAACTCAGAGCTTAAATCCTGTCTGAGGTCCAAACTCGTCCCAAGACCAGTTTGGGTTTAGTCCGTCTGGTCTTTAGGTCGTCTGAGCTCAGAGGCGACACTGTTACCTGATCCTCTGAGTCCAGGTCAGGACGATCAAACACTGAACATGTGACACAAACCGCAGACATGTAAATATCAAACCCAAAGGTCCCCAGAGCGAAACGATTAGACAGAAAACTGTGTTTAGGCTTTAACACTTCTCACTGTGAATCTTGGAGAACAAAAAGAACAAAACACAAATACTCAAATATCCTCCACAAAACTAAGAATGAACAAAATCCAAAAAACGAGACAGTGACAACGACACTCGAGCGACGAACGACACTCGAGCGACGAACGACACTCGAGCGACGAACGCCGAGGACACAGGGAACAAACGCTGCTGATTTCTGTTAGTAGTAAAAACTCGGCTCCATCGACTCTGGCTCCAATTCATTTTATACTGAAAAATAACAAACTTTTGCTGTGAGCCTCGACATTTTGGTTTTAAAATGTTCGTATGAAGCCACGACAAGAGATCCTGCCATTTTTATTTCATTATTTTGTCTGTAAATAAATTTCTATAACCAATCTGGAGCATGTTCCAAATTTGCTCATGTAACGGTGGAACTCGATGAGCTTCATTTGACTGGAGCCGAACGCTGTGGTGACGTCACCTCCCCTCAGAACACGTCTTTATTCAGACTGTGCCCGCCCGTCCCTGCGTCGTGCCCGTCCCTTCGTCGTGCCCGTCCCTCTGCCCGCCCCTGTCCCGTCGTGCCCGTCCCTCCGTCGTGCCCGTCCCTCCGTCGTGCCGGTCCCTCCGTCGTGCCCGTCCCTCTGCCTGCGCTCTCTCTCTCTCTGAAGCGTGTGTATTAAATGAGTTTGTGCATCCGCTGTCACATGAACATTTGTGTGTGTGTCTGGAGCGTCGTGTGATGTGACAGGACCCCCGCGGTGCCCGGCCCCTCGCACACATCGCCGCTGGCCTCGCACACAAACCCGTAATAACCTCTCCGGAGCGAGCAGCAGGGGGCGCTCTCGTAATTACGACTTCTGCCGCGCCTCACGTCCGGGTGACAGTCAATAAAAGAAACTCATTTGTTCAAACTTCACATTTTCCATCAAACGAGCAATTAAAGCTCGACGTGACGATCGGATCCGTGTTCTAATGTTCCTCGTCACACACACACCTGCAGCTGCGTTCACGAAACTCTGTCCCACCTCGTGATGTCATGTGGTGATACAGGAAGTGCTCCACTGCGTTTTTATAAGATAATCCTTTGTCTTGGGACAGAAGATCACAGCTTTACCACAAAGACACAACAACAACAGAAGCACAAACAAAAAGTAGAACAGAAATTTAAAAAAAGACAAAAAAAAAAGACCAAATGTGTCGATGAGAGATTCACCGACAGAACGTTTAAGTGACTCTTTACACCAAAAGTCACAATCTTATATTCTGTAAATAACTGCTCACTCCCTGAACCTTTTACTTTTTAACTTCACTATCTGAGTTCAGCAGATTAACGACTAAAAAAACACAAAAGAAATGTTTGAATCTGTTCAGTTTACAGTTTGGGCTCCTCACACCTTCACCTGAATCATCTGGATCATTTCAGTCCTGGAGTCGCTGATCTCAACTGAACTAAAGAGAAAAGGAGCTGCTTAAACTACCACTTCATGACATCACAAGGTGGAACAGAGTGTCTGGAGCTTTGCAGATGTAACAGACTCAGAATAAAGATTTACTCAGACAAACACAACTCCAGCTCTGAGTGTGACCAGGAACATTAGAACATGAGAACATTAGAACATGAGAACAACAGACTCCAGGCAACTCCAAAACAGTAGAAAAAGTGAACACATCGTACGAGGAAAAATATAGTTAAAAGGCTTTTATTTGAATGGCCAAAGCCGACATGTTTGGACCTGAACTGGTCTTCATCAGGGCTGGAGTCGACTGGAGGCCGACAAAACAGGTGCACAAGAACAGGACACGGTACAGGCAAAAAAAAACAAAAAAAAAAAACAAACCACACATCATTACCATTAATGTTCCCATTATTATTGTTACCAATAATTTATTAATATTTATAGTTTGTATCATAATTTTTATATTTTTATTATATTTATATTATATTAGTGTTATTTTTTATCATTTTTTATTATTATTGTGATCATTATCAATAATAATCATAATAACAATAATATACATTAATATTAGAACATGACTTAAAACTCAGAGTTCGTTTGTTTCACTTTGATCTGGTCAAATTCAAAAGAATTAAAGGCTTAAAGTTGAAGCTCATGAAAAAATCCATGAGCCAAATATGAATGAGTTTGATGAGAAACTCTCCTCAGGTTCACTCTGTCTCTGTCCTCTCACTGTCTCTGTCCTCTCTGTCCTTCACTCTGTCCTCACTTTGTCCTCTGTGTCTCATGTCCTCTCTCTCTCTCTCTCTCTCTCTCTCTCTCTCTGTGTCTTGAGTCTTGAGTCTTGTGTCTGCTCTGTCTTTACTTACCTGGATGGTAAATAGTAGAAGTATTTAAAGATTTCACCTTGACGTGACTTATTACCACTTCCAAAGTTCAATTAAACCACACGAGCTTCATTGTGGCTTCATTAGCACATCAAAGTTAATTTAAGCACTTCATCCTCGTCAATAAGGGACGAGCCGAGCGACTATTAAAACGCATCAATCTGAAACTGAACGCAGATCTGTGAGCTTCATTTAACCCACTGTTTCAGCTCTGCAGAACTCCACAAGAATCTGCTCCATCACCAGAAGAACACAGCTCCATCAGAACGAGTTTCTGTTTTAAAAGTCATAAACCACGAACCGAAGAGCGAAACAGAACCAGAACCAGAACCTTAAAGCTGCGTTCAGACGTCAGGGTTCACTTCACGTTAAGTCCATGTGGACGAGCGTCTGGGGCGTCTGCAGGCGTCAGCGCGGCGAGAATTTGGCGTCAACACGGAGCATGTTGAGTTTTCAGGCGTCGGCGTCAGAAGTTGAAAAAGCTGAACTTTTGAACGTGCCGCATCAACCAATCAGAGACGAGTATCCAGAGACGTAGAGACAAGTAGAGTGAAAATATTTACACGCTGCAGCTGCCGAGCCAATCACTGGGAGTAAACCAGGACTGAACCAGGACTGAACCAGGACTGAACCAGGACTAAACCAGGACTGAACCAGGACTGAACCAGGACTGAACCAGGACTAAACCAGGACTGAACCAGGACTAAACCAGGACTGAACCAGGACTAAACAGGACTGAACCAGGACTAAACCAGGACTGAACCAGGACTAACCAGGACTGAACCAGGACTAAACCAGGACTGAACCAGGACTGAACCAGGACTAAACCAGGACTGAACCAGGACTGAACCAGGACTAGGCCAGATTAGATCAGCGTGAGTATAAATACAAACACGCTGCAGGCGTCGTCGATCTCCTCCGCTGATGGTTTTATGTAATAAAAACACTAAAGTCTCTCTCAGCTCCATCGTTGTTTCAGGGAAACGGACGTCCTGGACACGCAGCAAGTATTTTTTTCTCCCCTTCGTCGATGACGTTATAGACGCTTTGGGAGCGTCTGAACTCAAATACAAAGGCTCCAACGAGACACGTCCAGTGTGTTTTGACTCTGATGTGAAAAGACCAGAACTGTTCCAGACTCTTACGGCTCTAACTGTTCCTGTGCTGGACTTGGGAGGGCATCTGGTATAAAATTAGATGTCAAGTTTAATACATTTTCTTTGTAAAGGTTTATAGTAACAGGAGCTCAGAGTGGAGCTGCTGCTCCACCACACAGACCAGACCAAGGTGCTCCTCAGTGTTTGTAAAGTGAGAGCACCCAGAGGTGACACTCTGAGTCTCCTGGCGTGGGGCGGGTGCAGGTGCAGGCAGGTGCGGGCGGGTGCAGGCAGGTGTAGGTTTCACCCCCACAGACTCGGTGCTCTGTGTGTGTCCTGTGGGGGTCACAGGGTCACACGAGGAGCAGACACACTCCCCGAGTTTTCCCCATGAACAGGAAACACGAGGAGTTTCACCTTTTCACCAGCGCCGCCCGACGACTCTTCAACACCAACAACAGAATGAGAAAACTTTAAAACTCTCTGCCCCAAACCCTCTTCATCTGAACCACCGACCAACAAAACAATAAAGTGATTCTGTTATTCTCTTTGGCTCTGTCACAGTTCAGTGTTTTTACAGTTGGACGTCCACGTTCACTTCCTCCTCAGAACACGGCGGATTTCAGGTTAAACTCTGTTTATTTATCGTTATATTTACACTGACGTCTGTTTGAGCGACTCAGAGAAAATATTTGACTCTAGTTCTTTAAACTGTTTCACAAAAGGTCTAAACTGAAGCATTCAGAGGTCAGACAGATGGGGTCAGGGGTCAGAGGTCACAGGGTTCATTGATTTACATGTTCAACACAAAAATGAATCGTTTGGTTTCATTGTTGTTAAAGTGAAAAACCCTCGAGCCAAAAGACGAGCTGAGAAACGACGTCAGCGAGAAAAGCAAAGAAATCAATAAGGCAGTTTGTCACAGCGCCCCCTGGACCCGCGACGCCCCGCGAGGAACCGCGACGCCCCGCGAGGAACCGCGACGCCCCACGAGGAACCGCGACGCCCCACGAGGAACCGCGGTCAGCGAAAACACCACCAAAAAACAAACACCACCAACGGAGACCCACCTCCAGGTTCATTCAGTCGTCTGAGATGAAGATCAGTTGTTGCACGTGTCTCTGTGAACAGACGAGCATCGTGGGTGAGGAAGAACATTCTTGGGTTTAGTCAATAATTGAAAATATCATGTTCACCATTTGCGTATTTACCTTTGAAGATTTGTGGCAAATTACAAAGTGATCAAACGAAAATCAGGTCCTCGCCCCTCGAGAGTCTGAAAACTACTAACACATACACATACACATATGTATATCACATATATACAGGTATACATACATTTATACACAGACACATGACGACACAACACCACCACATTTCAAAATCTAAAAACCACCAAAACACAGTGTGATAACTTGAATTATCTTAATGAACTCAAAAATGTGGAGCAGATTTTGAAGAACGAGTCCAGTCCCTGGTTTTGTTCATGACGTTTATTTTCAGCTCGGCCCCAAAGTCAGTTCATTAAAACAGTTAATAAAAGACGGTGGAGTTCATGATTTCCAGTTTGAGCTCTGCAACTGTCACAATCCTAATGATTTATTTATTTATTTTTTTGTGTATGAAGATGATCCATATCCTGGTCACTACAGCAGGACAAACAGTGAGAGGATCAGGGGCCTGAACCTGTGGAATATATCAGTCCAAACTGTTTGTAGCACCGGACAGAACCAAAACAAACGACCTAAAGAGCCATAAGACGTAAAACATCGATCACACGTCGCTGATACAGATGGAAAGATTTTGTTTAGTTTAACTTTTGATTAATAAAATCTGAACCACTTTGAGTCCTCACATATTCAGAAGATCAGAACTTTAGAGTTTTATATTTTCCTACACATTCAGGCAGGAGTCTCCAACCTGGAGCCCGGGAGCCACCAGCAGCTCGTCACACTCTGCTCCACTGTAAAAGAACTGAAATAAATACATAAATACATAAAGCAGGTGATGGAAAGTTGCACAGTGCATCTTTAATAGTCTATATTTCATAAACGATTTAGTCTTTTAATCAAATGGTGATCAAAATTATTATATGATTTAAAAAATAATCATGAATGTTAAAACGAAATATATATATTTTTTATATCCAGGGAGGCTACTGCCAAAGTTTAGAGATAAAGCACGTCTCTTGAGAGTCTTTCACAGTTTCACAGTTTCAGAGTCTTTCAGCGTTTCAGAGTTTGAGAGAGTTTGAGTCTTTTAGAGTTTGAGTCTTTTTTAGAGTTTGAGAGTTTGCAGATGAGCAGAGGTCAAGCGGTGGTGCTCTAAATGTAATCCTATGTCGCTCATACACGGCTCTTTGTGCGTCTGAAACAGGAGCCTCAGTCAGAACGGCCAGTGAAAACAGGAGGAATTCTCATGTTTCTCATCAAATGTTAATAACAGATAGTTACCTTTCACACAGGGTCAGTGTTGTAACAACACGCAGAACGGACGCAAGCGCAGCAGCTTCAAACTTTACATTATTCATGAGAAAAAGCAGCAGAGCAGAGGCTTTTAATACTGAGCTCCTTCTTGTTCTTTGTAGGCGAAATAGACGGTGACGGGTCCGGCTGAAGTCTGCACCGTCTCTGAGGCTCCGATCACCATCCAGCAGCCGAGGCCGTACGCCAAACACGGGAGACCTGACGACACCAGGAAATCAAACGAGAACAACATGAATGTTTCCTGAGAATCTGCGGGATCAGGCCACAAACACACGACAAGAACCAGTGGGATAAAAATGACACGTGTTTATTCAAACTGAACAAAATGATGTGAGAATAAAATAAGAAAAATATGTTTAAAATATGATTCAGTGCCACAATATGAGTAAAGTAACACCGGTTAAAATAAGTCATAATTGTACTTTCACTCCATTCACTTAAATACAAAAAAAACATTCTGTAATCACAAATAATAAAAACACATCTAAAGTCAGAGCAGTTTAGAATTTAAATGTAAATCGCTCATTTTAATCAATTTATTTTGTATCAGTTAATCACTATAGCAGTTGATCAATATGTATTATTGTGTTTTAAATGATCTGAATCACTAGAGGAGGTGAAATTTAAAGTTGCTTAAAGAAAACATTAAATTTACTGTGAGTCAAACTGAATAAACAGGAATAAGGAGCAGATGATTTTCCTTAAACTCTGGATATTTTAATCAATAATAAATTTGTAAAACTGAGAATTTAAACACATCGATTATTTATGTTTCACTACACAATCACAGACTGAACTGACCACAGACTGAAGTACTGACCATTGACTGTGAAGTACTGACCACAGACTGAAGTACTGACCACAGACTGAAGTACTGACCACAGACTGAAATACTGACCACAGACTGTGAAGTACTGACCACAGACTGAAGTACTGACCATTGACTGTGAAGTACTGACCACAGTGTGAAGTACTGACCACTGACTGTGAGGTACTGACCACAGACTGAAATACTGACCACAGACTGAAGTACTGACCACAGACTGAAATACTGACCACAGACTGTGAAGTACTGACCACAGACTGAAGTACTGACCACAGACTGTGAAGTACTGACCACAGACTGAAGTACTGACCACAGACTGAAGTACTGACCATTGACTGTGAAGTACTGACCACAGAGTGTGAAGTACTGACCACAGACTGAAATACTGACCACAGACTGTGAAGTACTGACCACAGACTGAAGTACTGACCACAGACTGAAGTACTGACCATTGACTGTGAAGTACTGACCACAGAGTGTGAAGTACTGACCACAGACTGAAATACTGACCACAGACTGTGAAGTACTGATCACAGACTGAAGTACTGACCACAGACTGTGAAGTACTGACCACAGACTGAAGTACTGACCATTGACTGTGAAGTACTGACCACAGAGTGTGAAGTACTGACCACTGACTGTGAGGTACTGACCACTGACTGTGAGGTACTGACCACAGACTGAAATACTGACCACTGACTGTGAAGTACTGACCACAGACTGAAGTACTGACCACAGACTGAAGTACTGACCGGTGGATACTGACCGAGGTTGATGACTTTGAGTGCGGAGAAGAACATGTCCTCGAGGTGCAGGTCCTGCGGCGGAGCTTTGGTGCAGTGGTACTTGATGAAGGGGAAGCAGCCGGTGCGGAGGATGTGGTAGTTCGATCCCTGGACGTTCCAGTTGAAGTTGGAGCAGCCGAACTGGTCGTTACGCACGGAGCTGTAGCGCACGCAGAACGATGTCCACGGAGGAAGTCTGCGCTGCTGCAGGTGACAAGTCAGAACCTCCGAGGCCAGAGGGAGAGGCACAGAGCCGGGCGCGGAGCCGGGCGCGGAGCCGGGCGCGGAGCCGGGCGCGGAGCCGGCGCGGAGCCGGGCGCGGAGCCGGGCGCGGAGCCGGGCACGGAGCGGCCAAAGGAGCGCCCCACAGAGCTCGGGAACAGGAGCACTTTGAGTAAAAAGCCATGGAGAAGTCTGAGGATTTCCTTCATAATAAATGAGTTTGGAGTAATATGTCCAGTCGTCCCTGTGTCCCTGGGACAGTCCCAGTCCTGACCCTGTGTCTCTGTCCCACAGATTTATACAAAAACACTGATTTGTTCCAGTTTTACACAAGAAATGTCCCAGGTGCCTCTATTTCTGATCCTGCAACAGTAAAGAGACATAAACTTTCATTTGTTTAGGTAAAATACAGAAAAGCTGCTTAAAAACAATAAAACACAAAGAAAATGTGACGATAGTGACACGTGTTTGTCATGAAAGTGCCAAGTTTTCACTATTTTATTATGACAAACCGCCACAAACCAGGAATGTCCCAGTGTTTTTATTTTAAATCCTGCTCCTGCTCGTTCAGACTCATGAGCTCTGGTTTGTTCCTCAGAGTTTTTAGTTTTGAGTTTAGAGTTTTTAATAGAGCCTGACCGATATATCGGTTGGCCGATATTATCGGCTGATATGGGCAACTTTAGGCATATCGGCCGAAAAGAACCAGCAGCTTTTAGTGAGCCGAGCCAAAAGAGCCGGTTCTCTAAAAAGAACTGGAATCCCCATCACTAGTGTGTAGAATGTGATACAAAAATGCCACTAAGCCAAACTACTGTCTGTAAATATGATGTAAAGAGGCAGAATAACAATAAATGTTGCCTAAATAAACCCAATTTAAAATCCACCAGAGCCAAACCTAAGTTTTTTAAACAATTCAACATTTACAGTGAATTTTTACATCACTAAATATATCGGCGATTATATCGGCAGCGCCAACTCCCGTTATATCGGTTTCATATCGGTCGGGCTCTAGTTTTTAGATCAGAGTTCGAGTTTGTGATGAGGCCCGCGCGCGCACAGGCCCGGACCGGAAACAGCGGAAGTTGACATTAGCATTAGCATTAGCTCGACACCGCTAATAAAAGGTGATCGCGGGAAACAGGTAAAGTAAAGCACGCGGCTGCACGAGCGCGGGGAAAATGATCCTCAAACTGTTGGATTTTGATGAAGCGCCGGATCTGAACCCGTCACACTCAGGGTTTTACGGTTTTATCATCATATTAACGGTTTTATGGTCAAACTGCAGCAGCTGGAGTTTGTTTGTACCTGTACGTCACCGTTTTCCTCCCGGACAGAAACACGGCGCTGCACAAACGTTCCCCTGGAAAGAACGAAGCAACCGCAAAACAAAAAACAAAAAAAACAAAAAAACCCCAGAAAACTCAAAATACAGAATATGACTTTATAGCAGAAAACACTTGTAATCACACACACTTTTGTGTTGTTGTTTTTTTGTCTCATCATTAATTAATATTGCAGATGCTTCTTCACAACCCTGGTCATTATCACAGACTGTATATATTTTATTTTTTATACAGTCTGTGGTCGTTATTCTAAAATTCTTATATTACATTTTTCAGGTTTGGTTGGACCTTAGCCGTGGTGTTTTATGAATAGGCTGTGGCATAAAATTAATGTTAATAATAATAATAATAAATGTAACGCAGGTAGAAGCCTCCCAGTCCTGGTTCCACCTGTGGACGGTGCACAGGTGTGGGGCAGTTTAAATCATGCTAAACACAATAGCTGTTTTTTTGGCTGCTCAATAAGTGAGTGCAAAATGAGTGTAAACACAGAGGAGCATTCCAGAACACCACCTGATGATGTCACGCAGTGGGACTGAGCACTCAAGGGCCAATTTGAACAAAATAAATGAAAACAGGTTATTTGATGAGGACACAAAACATTATTTAAGGTTCAAACTATTCATGGATTTCAGATCTTGGTTTATTGGTGATATTTTAAGGAGTTTTGCTCATTCAAGAGAAATTTTAATTGTTAATTGTTGTTGAATCGTTAAATGGAAAGAGCCGCGTGTAAAGAGAGAGAATCAGTGAAAAATGATCCTTACAGCAGCAGAGCAGCATAAGTTTGATATAAGAGATATATTAAAAAAACAATGCATTGACCGTTTAAAAAGCATAATTCATGTTAAAACGTTACATTTCCAGTTTGCTGTATGCACCGTCTGTTGACACAAACCCTCTGTGTGTACTGTGTGTGTGTGTATGTGTGTGTACTGTGTGTGTGTGTATCTGTGTGTACTGTGTGTGTATCTGTGTGTGCTGTGTGTGTATCTGTGTGTACTGTGTGTGTGTGTGTGCAGCCCTGAGACGGTCCTGAGCGCCTGAAGCGTGTGAAGGTCTCTCATAGAAATCCTACATTAAGTGTTGTATCTGTGGATGGAGCAGGTGCACGGGCTGATGGAGGAAATCCAGGCCGAGGTGCTGATTTAAGTTTGTCTCCCACAAGGCCACGCGGCGCCACAATCACACAAACATCAAATAGTCTGATTATCTTTTCATTCAAATCTCCCTGCTGCCTTTACTGTTCGAGTCTTATTATTGATTTCCTTTAGTTTTGTTTGAACATCTGTGAGTGAGTTCAAACTGTCAAAAGGACAATGGGGATGTGCTGTTAGTGACCACACTGCTGCTGCTGCTGCTGCTGCTTCTTCTGCACAAACTCTTCAATGCTCTTCATCAGCTCCTAAAAGAAACATGAACACTTAATCGTGCAGTAATTACTCAGCGTAGAAAAGACTTGTTAACCTTGTGCTGGTAACATACTGTAGCTGCCGATAGGGAAGTGGAGCGCAGCCTTTGTGACACAGATAGAGAGGGATCATTAAGTCATTAGCACACGCACCTTCAAATTGCTTTGTCCCTGTGTTCTGGAGGAAGACGTCTCCTGATGGATGACTGACAGGCTGTGAGCAAAGGTCAGGAGCGCTCCCTCGGGACTGTCGCGCGCCGCTCTGCTCAAACAGCCAACACAAACGGGTGCACTAATGAGACCTGCGCACCTCATCTGGACGCGGGTCAATAGAAGTTTGGAGCGGCGTCTCGCGGGGCCCGGCTCAGAGCGATTACAGGCCGTGGGAGGAGAGGATCCCGGTGATGAATATGGTGAATAACCTGCGGCTTAAACGGCGGCAGGTTTCACAGGAACATTCACCATGTTAATCCTGAAACAGCCTCTGCCCAGACGCGCTAAACCCCGAGCTGTCAGCGGCTCACGGCAACAACAACACAAATATCACACTGGAGTTCATTGAGTGGACTCTGCGTCACCGTCCTGCCCAGTGACCAGCACAGAAACACATACTTCTACACAAACCTTAACGACAGGTGGTTTTATTACATCTTCTGTTTTAACGCTTGTAGTTTGATTTACTATAAATGAAGAGCATTATTCATTTACGGATTATGTTTTATAATATCGTGACTCTTTGAAATTCTTTGAGGACTTACATCATTCCGATGCGGCGTCGGTCTGAGCTGTCGTAAAGAGCAAACAGTGTGCCTTGTTTCTTCTGAGAATAATAAAAGAAGGACATAAGTGTGGAGAAGAACATGATTAGAAGAACCTCCTCCTCCTCCTCGTCTCTCGTGTGAAACACCTCCTTGTTGAAGCCGAGGCCCCGGACTTTACACATCTGAAAGAAGGTGCTGCGGTAGAGCGTGGACAGGTTGGCGTGGAACAGTTGGCTGCTCAGGACGGCGAAACGCTTCTCCATCGAAAACTGAAAACAAGAAACACAAACAAATATTCCATAAAACACACACAAAAAAACACACAGGTTCAAATCAAATTATTATTGCATGATGAAAATGTAAAGTGAATTTTCCATGACTTTCCAGCACCTACATGTGTAGAACTGATCAGACTTTTAGGTGTAAATCTGAAACATTAACTCTTTCCTTTCACCTTATAGTTTGGGATTATAGTTTTGAACATTTTAAATCCTGTCAGTGTGTTTATTGTCACGTCTTTAAACGAAAGACTCAGACGTTCACAAATAATCAGAACAGACTCATGAGAACTGAACACAACACTGGAGCTGTGGGAAACAGACACTATAATTCCATGAGTTTTCCAGGATTTCCATGACTGTGGGAACTCTGTAAAATGTAGGTTTTTGTTGTAACAGAAAGTTCATGTGTTCAGTCACCAGTAGAAAATATGACATTAAACATTTGTGATTCAACTTTTGAACTATTTCATGATAAAGTCAAATGTTTTTAACAGAGAAATTTGCCTCCGTCTGCGAGTCTCACATCATCTGAAAACCACACACACACACACACACACACACACACACACACACACACACACACACACACACACACGGAGCTGTCACACTGTGCATCCAGCCGCTTTAATTGTGTTTGTAATGTGCTGGCCTCTGGTGACGGCCGCTGGACGCTCGGTGGAGTCGCTCGGTGGAGTCGCTCGGTGGAGTCGCTCGGTGGAGTCGCTCGGTGGAGTCGCTCGGTGGAGTCGCTCGGTGGAGTCGCTCGGTGGAGTCGCTCGGTGGAGCAGCAGCGTCGGGCCGGAGCCTAAATGAACGGTTGATAAAATACTACAAGCTCCAGATTAACAAGCGTAAACTCCGGCTCTGTGCTAATAAAAAGAACCTTTTGTTTAAGGCCTGGCAGCGAGCTGATGAGGTGTGAGCGCAGACACACACACACACACACACACACACACATACATAATGAAAATGATATGAATTATTAATGTGTTGATTATTTAGACTCATCTATCAAAATGATAATGAATGCTCGTCCTAAACACCAGCGAACTCAGAGCATAATTACACTGTTTAGTGGTATTTAAGATAAAGGTTTATACACACACAGTCTAAAGGACCAGCAAACACACAACTAACTCTGTCATACGCACAAACACAACACACAAACACACAAACACACAACACACAAACACAACACACAAACACAACACAACACACAACCTGAAAACGTCTCATAAAAACACTGAAGAAAACCCCGGTCTTCTCTCTCTCTGCTGGACACATCTTGAGCTCAAATACTTTTATTATTATATTATTATTTTATTTTCTGTTGTTGAATGAAATAAATTGCAATTCATTTATTTTGTCTTCATCATATTGTTTTTTAACATCAGAAATATAATTCTCTGATGTGGTTTTCCTTCAGATCACAATGATTCTGTTCACGTTAAGACGTAAACTACTGAGCTGCATTTACTCAAAGGTCGTGGATTAAACAAACTGAACTCCTGTGAGTTTTAAGACACGTCACAGTGTTGTTCTCTCCTCACACTCAGAGCTGGACTTCTGCTTGTTTCAGTAACTCTTTATTATGAGTCTGTCTTTGTACTTGTAGTTCAGGAGAGATCAGCAGCTCCAGCTAAAAGTGCAGGTTTGTGCGTTCAACATGTGAATGAAACAAAACACAGCTGCAGGTCTGTGTGTGACCAGGAAATGACATTAAAATGTCGGGGAAAAAAGCCGTGCAACATGAGTCCTTTAATTTTATTTTAAAGTCGTTTTTGCTCGTGCTGGAGTTGGAGCTTCTACCTGCTTCTTACAAAAACCTGCAGCTTTTGCAAATAACACTGAATATGAGTAATTTTCTGACGTTTGCTTCAGGTGTTCAGAGGATCAGCTCTGCTCTGCTCCGTCTGCTCTGGAATTCAAACATTTAATAAATTCAGTATTTTCACTTTGCTCTCGAACAAAACCTCAAACGGCCGATGAATGTGCAGAATCTCATTGTCTAAAGGCTTGAACTCTCATTAAAATATGTGTAATGAAAACATACTTTGTGAGGCGATGTTTGTGCGCGTGGCACTGGCACGTGCAGGGCGCTGGCGGCGGAGGCGAGCGCTGGTGGAGGCGAGCGCTGGCGGCGGAGGCGAGCGGTGGCGGCGGTGGCGGCGGCGGGCGGCGGGGCGAGCGGTGGCGGCGGCGAGGCGGCGGAGGCGAGCGTGGCGGCGGAGGCGAGCGCTCCCTGAGTGCTGTGGAGCAGCGTGGGGGTCAGGGCCAGGTCATCGCTGTACGAGAGCTGCAGGTCAAGGGCCCAAACCTGCAGAAAAACACCACAAAGAAACAACAAAACCACCTGAAAGAGTCACTGAAAACAGACGTCAGAGCACCAGGTCACAGGTCAGTGCCTCAGGTCACCAAACGACCCGGCGCAGGAGCCGCAGGAGCTGCAGGAGCCACAGGAGCCACAGGAGCACAGGAGCCACAGGAGCCACAGGAGCCACAGGAGCTACAGGAGCCACAGGAGCTACAGGAGCCACAGGAGCTACAGGAGCCACAGGAGAGCCCGGTTCAAACTCTACTCACCAATATTCACACATGTAAACCAGGACTAAACCATGTGTTGGGACTGAACCAGAACTAAACCAGAACTGAACCAGGAATAAACCAGGACTAAACCAGGAATAAACCAGGACTAAACCAGGACTAAAACCAGGACTGAACCAGGACTAAACCAGGAATAAACCAGGACTAAACCAGGACTAAAACCAGGACTAAACCAGACTAAAACCAGGAATAAACCAGGACTAAACCAGGACTAAACCAGGAATAAACCAGGACTAAACCAGGACTAAAACCAGGACTAAACCAGGAATAAACCAGGACTAAACCAGGACTAAACCAGGACTAAACCAGGACTAAACCAGGACTACATCAAACTGTGGGCCTGGAGTTTTTTGGTTTTTTTTAACATTTGGACTAAAATTACGACACAACATCGCTCCAAACAAAAGTTCAGAGAGTCAGTGAGAAGAAACTTCTAGAACCTGGAGGAGAAACATCTGAACCTCCATTTTGCAGAACACGTCTGATTTAATCACACGACAACTCAAGTTATTCTTCTTTTTAAAACCAGGTGGTGAGAAACAAGAAATATCACAACATCTGGAGGCTTTATCAACTGGAGCCACTGGATTATTCTCCAAAATGTGTCGCCCAAACACAGGAACGAGTCCAACTGTGCAGTGGCCAGAAAAAAAAAACAATACAGAAGTTAGTTTTTTGGTCAGAAATTTTCCAAAATGACAACACGAGATTGTGATGTTGCACAAACCCGTCGGGAGCACAGACCTCGCAGCCTCGGAGGAGACGCTGGCTGATATGTTTAGTAAATGGCGTCATTATAAGTATATTAAGGGGTCAGGTGCAGTCGTGGCCTTCTGCTTAAACAGGGCTAATTTGTCCCATAATAACCTAAGCTGGATGCCCTCCCCTCGCCGGGGCCACATAAATCACACACGAAGCACTTGGTCATAACGAAGTGGCACTCGGGCTTTTCCTGCTTTTCCTGAGCCGCTCCTATTTGTCAAAGTAAACGCTGCTGCCACTAATGCAAATGTCCCTCTGAAGAATGTGCGAGAGAGAAAGTGTGTGTGTGTGTGTGTGTGTGTGTGTGTGTGTGTGTGTGTGTGTGTGTGTGTGTGTGTGTGTTTGAGAGAAAGAATTGTTGGGTTTGGGGCATTTATTCGTAACATTTCAGCTCTTTATGACTCTTCATTTGCGCTGCTGTCGGTTTATTTGTTTGTGGTTATTTGCTGATTAACAGTTTCCCATCAGTACTGGAAAAGTCTTCAAAACAAAATGATACTAATGCTGTAGATTTGCAGAGGTTCGTTAAGTGTTCGTTAAACCGCTGTGTGTTTCCTTCAGACTCGCGCGTGGACCTGAGCACAGTTTAGTTCAGTAGAAACGAGAATCGCACACGAGTCTAGTGAAGGTGTTCGAGTTTAAAAACAGACTAAATATTCCGTTTTTTTGACGATGAAACGACATTATCACACAGATCGGAGCAGTGTAACGCGGGCCCTTACACATGTGCGGGGGCTCGTGTGCCGTGTTCATCAGTATGCTCCGCGCTTCCTTCAGGCCCCTGCACGGATCTGAGCGCGGTGGGTCCAGATCCGTCCCTTTGTGGTTCTTAACAAAGCTGTGGGAGACGTACGCCTGGATTGTACCTGTTTTCTATGGCCGGCCGCTCTCATTAAAGAGCCTGACGCTGCAGCTGGGGCCCCGCGGCTCCACAATGTGACGAGAGACTGAAGGGCAAACATATGTGACCCACTTCCACGCGCCACAGAAAGTGCTTTTAGCAACAGGTTTGAATCTAAATTGATGTTTAAATGCAGAGAGCTTTGCCCATGTGGCGCTGTGTGTCTGAGCCGTGGAGGGAGATGGCCGAGAATGCAGCGTCTTTAATGTCCTGATCTATTCAAGTGCGGCGTTTAGTCGCTCTTAATTATGCTGCTGCTGAAAAGCATTCATGTCTGGGCTGATTGTGAGTAAAAAATGATTTGATGGCTCTCATTATATAATTTTTAACAGTCTGGGAGAAGGACGCTTTCTGTCCTTGTGATTTTTTTTTTTTTTTTTTTGGAAAAGATAATTAACACAAATGAATAGAAGTTCACTTTTATTTAGTCAATCTCTGAATATGAAACATACCACAAGGATTTTAATCACCAAAAATATGACATGAAGATATTCATATATTTATTTATTTATATCCCTGTGGTCAGTGAAGTTTACGTCTAAAACAATTCAGAACATTTAATTAAAATATGTCAGTTATTTACTGGTAATGAATCAGTGACGACCTCTGGCAGGAGATCGTCACTGTTGTAATTAAAATCATTCAAATTCATGAAGCGGAACAAGTTTCATTAAAGCTCCAACATCACAAACGATTTAAACCAGGACCACACTCCAGGACCACACTCCAGGACCACATCAGGACCACACACTCAGGACACACTCCAGGACACTCCAGGACACACTCCAGGACACACTCCAGGACCACACTCCAGGATCCAGGACTCCAACACTCCAGACTGACCACACTCCAGGACCACACTCCACCACACTCCAGGATACACTCCAGGACACTCCAGGACCACACTCCAGACCACACTCCAAAACCACACTCCAGGACCACACTCCAGGACACTCCAGCACACTCCAGGACCACACTCCAGGACCACACTCCAGACCACACTACCACACTCCAGACCACACTCCAGGACCACACTCCAGACCACACTCCAGGACCACACTCCAGGACCACACCACACTCCAAACCACACTCCAGGACCACACTCCAGGACACTCCACACTCCAGGACCACACTCAGGACCACACTCCAGGACCACACTCCAGGACCACACTCCAGAACACTCCAGGACCACACTCCAGACCACACTCCAGACCACACTCCAGACCACACTCCAGAACCACACTCCAGAACCACACTCCAGAACCACACTCCAGGACCACACTCCAGACCACACTAGACCACACTCCAGGACACACTCCAGGACACTCCACACTCCAGGACCACACTCCAGGACCACACTCCAGGACCACACTCCAGGACCACACTCCAGACACTCCAGACACACTCCAGACCACACTCCAGACCACACCAGACCACACTCCAGACCACACTCCAGGACCACACCACACTCCAGACACTCCAGACCACACTCCAGGACCACACTCCAGGACCACACTCCAGGACCACACTCCAGGACCACACTCCAGGACCACACTCCAGGACCACACTCCAGAACCACACTCCAGGACCACACTCCAGGACCACACTCCAGGACCACACTCCAGGACCACACTCCCACACTCCAGGACACACTCCAGGACCACACTCCAGGACCACACTCCACCACACTCCAACAGGACACACTCCAGACCACACTCCAGACCACACTCCAGGACCACACTCCAGGACCACACTCCAGACCACACTCCAGACCACACTCCAGGACCACACTCCAGGACCACACTCCAGGACACTCCAGGACCACACTCCAGACCACACTCCAGGACCACACTCCCCACACCACACTCCAGGACCACACTCCAGGACCACACTCCACCACACTCCAGGACCACACTCCAGGACCACACTCCAAACCACACTCCAGGACCACACTCCAGGACCACACTCCAGGACCACACTCCAGGACCACACTCCAGGACCACACTCCAGGACCAACTCCACACTCCAGGACCACACTCCACACTCCAGGACCACACTCCAGGACCACACTCCAGGACCACACTCCAGGACCACACTCCAGGACACTCCAGACCACACTCCAGGACCACACTCCAGGACCACACTCCAAAACCACACTCCAGGACCACACTCCAGGACCACACTCCAGACCACACTCCAGACCACACTCCAGGACCACACTCCAGGACCACACTCCAGGACCACACTCCAGGACCACACTCCAGACCACACTCCAGGACCACACTCCAGGACCACACTCCAAAACCACACTCCAGGACCACACTCCAGGACCACACTCCAGGACCACACTCCAAAACCACACTCCAGGACCACACTCCAGGACCACACTCCAGGACCACACTCCAAAACCACACTCCAGACCACACTCCAGGACCACACTCCACCACACTCCAAAACCACACTCCAGGACCACACTCCAGGACCACACCCACCACACTCCAGGACCACACTCCACCACACTCCAGGACCACACTCCAGAACCACACTCCAGGACCACACTCCAGACCACACTCCAAACCACACTCCAGGACCACACTCCAGGACCACACTCCAGGACCACACTCCAGGACCACACTCCACACACTCCAGGACCACACTCCAGACCACACTCCAGGACCACACTCCAGGACCACACTCCAGGACCACACTCCAGAACCACACTCCAGGACCACACTCCAGACCACACTCCAGACCACACTCCAGGACCACACTCCAGACCACACTCCAGACCACACTCCAGGACCACACTCCAGACCACACTCCAGACCACACTCCCACACTCCAGGACCACACTCCAGGACCACACTCCAGGACCACACTCCAACCACACTCCAGGACCACACTCCAGGACCACACTCCAGACCACACTCCAGGACCACACTCCAGGACCACACTCCAGGACCACACTCCAGGACCACACTCCAGGACCACACTCCAGTCACACACATTTGAGTAAATCTTTATTCTGAGTCTGTTACATTTCCAAAGCTCCAAACGCTCTGCTCCACCTTGTGATGTCATGAAGTGGTAGTTTTCAAGTGAACAGCTCCTTTTACCTTTAATTCAGTCGAGTTCGGCGACTCCAGGACTGAAATGATCCAGGTGATTCTAGTGAAGGTGTGTGGAGTTTAAAAACACAGTGGAGCACTTCCTGGATCACCACATGATGACATCACAAGGTGGAACAGAGTGTTTTGAGTTTGACAAAAGAACTCAGGGTAACACTTTATAATAACTCCACCTTATTTAGCCTTAATAAAGCATGAACAAAGGCTTAATTAATAATGATTCATGCTTAGTAACTACTTAATTACTACCTTAATTAGCACTTGCACTTAATTTGCCTGTGCTGTAAATAGTTACTCATAATTATTTCATATTTAATTACTCATGAACTAAACATCTGAGCATTTATTAATCATTAATAAACTACGAGAGAATGATTTACTAATAATGTAATTCAATGATCATTCAGCAGCTGTTCTCTGTTAAGTCTTTTTGAGAGCTTTTTTTAAAGTGAAGACAAATGATCCTTTATTAAGTATTTACTACACGTGAATCATTATTAATTAAATCTTTGCTCATTATTAATTAAGTCTTTGTTCATGCTTTATTAAGGCTAAGTAAGGTGTAGTTATTATAAAGTGTTACCGAACTCAATACGCAGGTTTGTGTGTTAAACATGTGTGAATGACACAAAACACAAGTGCAGGTCTGTGTGTGTGACGAGGAAACGACAGATAAACGACAGATAAAGTCAGAATAATTCGAGCTCTTTAAACAAACGCGCGTCGTTCGTTTAATCTCGTGTTTGTGGATTATCCGTGTTTCAGAGTTGACGGTGTAATCATATATCATAGGGCCGGTTATATTACATTTCAAAGTGCTTTTTTCTTCCCTCTCTGGATCAATATTGTGTCGATGCAGTCACATGCGGAGAGCAGAGGTCCGGCGTCATAAACAGAGTTATCTGGTGTATCGTCAATCACACGGGCGCAGAACGAGCCTGACAAACGCCACGTGCCTTCGTCTGTGCGGAGGTTTCAGAGCGGAGAGGAGGCGGGGTTAAACGCGGCCGGGGCGTCCTCGTACAGCTGTTAAATCACTTTAGAATGACCTATTGTCTGACAGCGACGGCTCAGTGTTTGGGGTGAAAGGGCAGGTCTTAAATGGTGGATAAGTGCGCTCACACAATGTGCTCTGACACTTTATTAGACGGGCTGCAGACACTGTTTGGCCTCCTGTTGTAGACCTCTGGGGAGCAGTCTGAGGCTCCTCTCTGTGCCACTATAGATCCTCTATCCCCAACAACTATTGACGTGATCCAGCGGCACCGTGCAAACACAGAGCTGTTAAACACCAGCGCAGGAGAAAACCCCGAGTCTACGGAGATTCACTTCTGCAAATGACACCAACAGCCTTTTGTTTGTGAAGAGTCAATAATCTGTAATGACTCCAGTCTGTGGGTTTGTTCAAATGAGTCCAGACGCAAAGACAAATTACATTTCTAAATATGGATAGTGTTGGGAAAGTGACTTTTAAAATGTAATCCCCTACAGATTACAGATTACACACCCCAAAATGTAGTTTGTAACATAATCCAGTAAATTACTTAAAGTGAGTAACGTAATCTGATTACTTTGGATTACTTGATATTGTCGTGTTTTTTTAAACTACATGAATGTAACGACCACATCCTGATAGAAAAATGATTTTTATATGAGACACTGATGCTTCAATTATGTCCAACTACTGTTAGTGTCATATTGTTTAGTCCTGGTTTTAGACCTGGTTTAGTCCTGGTTTTAGACCTGGTTTAGACCTGGTTTAATCCTGGTTTAGTCCTGGTTTTAGACTTGGTTTGAGTCCTGGTTTAGACCTGGTTTAGTCCTGGTTTTGTGTTTGGCAATGAGTAGAATAACCGAGAAAAAAAAAAGAAAAAAAAAAGGGATTTAGCCCAAAATGTGAAAACAGGAAAATACTGCCCTGTAATCCATTTATTTCAACAAAGTAACTGTAATCCAATTACCACTCACTGAAACAGTAACTGTAACTGAATACAGTTACTCATCATTTGTACTCTGATTATGTAATCCCGGTACTTGTAATCTGTTACTCCGAACACTGAATATGGATTAGTGTTAGAATAGAATATGGATAGAATAAACAGAAGTTTTCTTTTATAGGAAACAGTTCACAGAGATGATGATTATTATTAGATTAGATCATTAGAGGGATGTTGTTCTCACCTTGGCTCAGTTTAATTTAAAATAAAAAATAAATCTTGAAAATCCTGAACCACACAAAAGCCTCTGTCTCTGTAGAACTAAAACAGTGACAGAAACCCTCTGTAAGACCCTGTCCTCGTTGTCTTGAACCTGACCATAAGTTCTACATGATGATGATGATGATGATTATTATTATTATTATTATTATTATTATTCTTTATCATGAGTCTGACCTTGTTCTGGTTGGAGGTTCGGTGGATGAAGCTGGCCAGTCTGAGGGACACGTGTCCGACGACGCCCTTCTGGAGACAGGTCCGTCCCAGGCGGGAGCACAGGGACCGGAGGGTTTCTGGGCTCACAGACGTTTGTGGGACACAGGAGGCGAGGACCTGCAGACCACAGCGGCTCTGGAGCAGGTCTCTGCACGAGAGCGTCGAGATGTTCCCCCCAGGCTCCAGCAGCAGGTCCACAGTCACACAGGACACACTGTCAGAGGGAGGGAGGGCCTCCACCACACCACCTGCACAGGTACCACACACATGGAGAGAGTCTGTGAGAGTCAGTCAGTCTGGAGAGAGTCTGTGAGTCGAGTCTGTGAGTCTGTGAGAGTCTGTCTGTGAGAGTCTGTGAGAGTCTGTGAGAGTCTGTGAGAGTCTGTGAGAGTCTGTGAGAGTCTGTGAGAGTCTGTGAGAGTCTGTGTGAGAGTCTGTGAGTCTGTGAGAGTCTGTGAGAGTCTGTGAGAGTCTGTGAGAGTCTGTGAGAGTCTGTGAGAGTCTGTGAGAGTCTGTGAAGAGTCTGTGAGAGTCTGTAGAGAGTCTGTGAGAGTCTGTGAGAGTCTGTGTGAGTCTGTGAGAGTCTGTGAGAGTCTGTGAGAGTCTGTGAGAGTCTGTGAGAGTCTGTGTGAGAGTCTGTGAGAGTCTGTGAGAGTCTGTGAGAGTCTGTGAGAGTCTGTGAGAGTCTGTGAGAGTCTGTGAGAGTCTGTGAGAGTCTGTGAGAGTCTGTGAGAGTCTGTGTGTGAGAGTCTGTGAGAGTCTGTAAGAGTCTGTGAGAGTCTGTGAGAGTCTGTGAGAGTCTGTGAGAGTCTGTGAGAGTCTGTGAGAGTCTGTGAGAGTCTGTGAGATTCGCCGAGAGTCTGTGAGAGTCTGTGAGAGTCTGTGAGAGTCTGTGAGAGTCTGTGAGAGTCTGTGAGAGTCTGTAAGAGTCTGTGAGAGTCTGTGAGAGTCTGTGAGAGTCTGTGAGAGTCTGTGAGAGTCTGTGAGAGTCTGTGTGAGTCTGTGAGAGTCTGTGAGAGTCTGTGAGAGTCTGTGAGAGTCTGTGAGAGTCTGTGAGAGTCTGTGAGAGTCTGTGAGAGTCTGTGAGAGTCTGTAAGAGTCTGTAAGAGTCTGTAAGAGTCTGTGAGAGTCTGTGTGAGTCTGTGTGAGTCTGTGAGAGTCTGTGTGAGTCTGTGAGAGTCTGTGAGAGTCTGTGTGAGTCTGTGTGAGAGTCTGTGAGAGTCTGTGTGAGTCTGTGTGAGTCTGTGAGAGTCTGTGAGAGTCTGTGTGAGTCTGTGTGAGTCTGTGTGAGTCTGTGTGAGTCTGTGAGAGTCTGTGAGAGTCTGTGTGAGTCTGTGTGAGTCTGTGAGAGTCTGTGAGAGTCTGTGAGTCTGTGAGAGTCTGTGAGAGTCTGTGAGAGTCTGTGTGAGTCTGTGTGAGTCTGTAAGCATCTGTAAGAATCGGTAAAAGCTGGTGAGCATCTAACCTTGGCTGAGGAAGGTCTGGAGGAAGCTGGTCCAGGTGAGGTGATGGGAGGAGTCGACAGGACGAGCGTGAGACGAGAGCCACTGAGGGACCTCCTCCAGGAAACGGACCATCAGCGGCTCCTGCAGAACATCAGGAGGAGGTTTGTCATTGTCAGTCTGACTCTACACACATACTGAGTGAAATCACTTTAGGATTCATACGGCTAATGTCTGATTTACAATATTTCATAATCATGTAAATGATTTGGACTCACAGCAAAAGAAAATGGAAATGTGAGAATGATTGATTTCATAATTGTCCCATTATTCCAGCCTTATCTTCTTTAGATAATGAGCTGGAGGTTATGTGTGGCTTTCAGGACGGAGACTGTTGCTATGGTGATTTATAATTTACAACTAAACCTTATATGTTCTGAATATATTTGTGCATTTATGTGTCAGTACACTGCAGACGACAGGAGCTCACACCATACACACTGTACCAGAATAAAAGAATAAAAAGTTCTATAAGTGACACGTGTGTAAGAGCCGAGCTGGAGTAAAGAATCAACACTGGAGTCAGAGTAAGATGACTCTGCGGAACATGAGCTTGTACTTTTACAGTAACCACTCAGTCTTTATATTATTATATATTAGAAACACGACGTATAGATACAGACAAATATAATGATAAAAGAAAATACTGAAACCACTGACACAAAAACATAAAACAGGAGAATCCCACTGAAACCATTTTAAAGAGACTCTCGTTAAAAGGTCTGAGCCGCAACAAATCACAGAATCAACCAATAATTAACCACAAAAGTCACTTTTTCTCTCCTCGACGGCGCAGATCTGAACAGAAACACTTCAGATCTTCAACTTCTGTAATGAAACTGAGCACATGATCCTCATGTTCCATATATTGAATAACAAGTTGCTGTGGTCTGTGTTTCAGCCGTGTGTTTCAGCCCGTGTGTTTCAGCCTGTATGTTTCAGCCTGTATGTTTCAACCCGTGTGTTTCAGCTCGTGTGTTTCAGCTCGTGTGTTTCAGCCCGTGTGTTTCAGCCTGTATGTTTCAGCTCGTGTGTTTCAGCCTGTGTGTTTCAGCCTGTGTGTTTCAGCCTGTGTGTTTCAGCTTGTGTGTTTCAGCTGTGTGTTTCAGCCTGTGTGTTTCAGCCTGTGTGTTTCAGCTTGTGTGTTTCAGCTCGTGTGTTTCAGCTCGTGTGTTTCAGCTCGTGTGTTTCAGCCCGTGTGTTTCAGCCTGTGTGTTTCAGCCTCGTGTGTTTCAGCTCGTGTGTTTCAGGCTCGTGTGTTTCGGCCGTGCGTTTTCGGCTCGTGCGTGTTTCAGCTCGTGCGTTTCGGCCCGTGTTCGTTTCGTGTGTTTCGGCTCGTGCGTTTCGGCTCGTGCGTTTCGGCTCGTGCGTTTCAGCTCGTGTGTTTCAGCCCGTGTGTTTCAGCTCGTGTGTTTCAGCCTGTTTCAGTCTCCTTGAGCGATGGAGTCACTTTCTGTCTGGAGTCTGTTTCAGAAAAAGGTTTTGAATTATAAATATTCTTTGGTGATATAAAAGAGTGCGGTGACGGCAGGTTTCTCTGTTTAGGAATAAATTAATACCGTCACAATTAAATTACATTAAAACAATTAACGTTTGACATTAATAATTAAACCACAGATGAAACGTTGGCCTGTTCTGTTCTGGTTCATACTGAGACTACATGTCCCATAATCCTCTGCTCTCTGATCTGTTCTGTTCTGCTGTTGTTTTGTTTCATTCACATGTTTAACACAAACCTGCACATTTAGAGTTCTGGTTCTTCTCTCATACAGAAAACACTCTCTTCCACCTTGTGACGTCATCATGTAGTGATACACAAAGTGCTCCACTGTGTTTTTAAACTGCAGAAAGTAATTTGGGTGATTTTTTAATGATGCACAAACCTTTCCTCTGTCTCGGGTTTGTTCAGTTGTTTGTCCTGTCACGATGAAACTGTTTAAAGAACGAAACATCACTGAAGTAAATATAAACTAAACCATGAAGCAGAATGACCCCGTAAAAATACTTGAACAATATCGTTAAATATTAAAAAATAAACAGCAGATCACAGAACTTCAGTGGTCAGTTTCTTATTTGAGTTCAGAATTCAGCTTCATCAGATATTTCCCTCTGCAAAAAAAGAACTCACCCCACAAACACTGAACCCCAAAAACCACCACGAGTGATCACACTGACAGATAATACTCCCTACAACTGTACAACTCACCCTTATGTCACAGATAATACTCCCTACAACTGTACAACTCACCCTTATGTCACAGATAATACTCCCTACAACTGTACAACTCACCCTTATGTCACAAATAATACTCCCTACAACTGTACAACTCACCCTTATGTCACAGATAATACTCCCTACAACTGTACAACTCACCCTTATGTCACAAATAATACTCCCTACAACTGTACAACTCACCCTTATGTCACAAATATACTCCCTAAACTGTACAACAACTCACCCTTGGAGCTGTAGTTTCTTTAGAGTGTTTTTTAGAGCTGTAGTTTGTTTCGAGCTGTAGTTTGTTTAGAGCTGTAGTTTCTTTAGAGTGTTTGTTTTCACAGTAGTTTGTTTAGAGCTGTAGTTTGTTTAGAGTGTTTGTTTTCACAGTAGTTTTTTTAGAGCTGTAGTTTTTTTAGAGTGTAGTTTGTTTAGAGCTTGTAGTTTGTTTAGAGTGTTTGTTTTAGAGCTGTAGTTTGTTTAGAGTGTTTGTTTTCACAGTAGTTTGTTTAGAGCTGTAGTTTGTTTAGAGTGTTTGTTTAGAGCTGTAGTTTTTTTTAGCTGTAGTTTGTTTCGAGCTGTAGTTTGTTTTGTTTCGAGTGTTTGTTTCACAGTAGTTTTTTAGAGCGTAGTTTTTTAGAGTGTTTTTTTAGAGCTGTAGTTTTTTAGAGCTGTAGTTTGTTTCGAGCTGTAGTTTGTTTCGAGCTGTAGTTTGTTTAGAGTGTTTGTTTTCACAGTAGTTTTTTTAGAGCAGGAGTCTTCGTCCTGTAGTTTCCCGCTCTCTTCCAAGTCCTTCTCCAGGAGATTTCTGAATTCTCGTACTGTGCTGAATAACTCACATTTAATTGATTAAATGTCTATTTCCTTTGTAAATGTATCATTTTGCTGCCTAATTTTGTGCGCTGAAAACTGGATGATGATTATGTTCTATAAACATCGACACTCTTCCTCATCTTTGGTTTTATCGTGGCTCTTATATTTACAAAAATTCTGGCGGTCGCTAAAATGAGCAGCTCTGACATTTTCATTTTACAAACAGAAGCTCACAGGAGGAAAAACGTGGACGACTCGAGGTTTAGAGTCTCCTTTTTCATAGTAGTTGGTTTTCTCGCAGTAGTTTGTTTTTTGTGTGTGGTTTGTTTAGAGCCTCAGATTATACTGTTGGTATTTGAGTCATGACATCATCATATTCAGTAGTTTGTTTAGAGTGTTTGTGGCAGTGGGTTCGGTCAAGTGTTAACGGAGGAAACAGGGTCAGATTTTTGACATTCAAATGTCTCTTATTCAGAAACTAGAGGAACTATTGAAATAAGTAAAGTATCAGAATGTAGGAAAGAGTTACACTCCAACAGGGTCAAGTTAAACCTGTGAGATTCTTTCAAGTTCAAGACAAAAAATAAAAAAAACTCATGTCAGTAACGGAGGGAATGAAATATGCAGCACTTTTTGGTCAATAAATCCAAACAGTGATAACTCTTGGTTCTCACTTCCATATCCTTAACAAACTGGTTTGAATATTTGCTTCATATAGTTTTCTACCATATGGTACAAGATTAGGTTGAAAAACCTCTGACTTTTTGACTCATGAGATTTTTTATTAAGAAAGTTCATGGTAACGGAGGGAAAAGTAACGGAGGGAAAATTGTACAAACAAGTAGAAGGTGCAGGATTTTACATCATTTGTCACTTTTTTCTTCTGAAAACTTTAATATTACTTCAAAATGAAAGAAACTATTTCTATAAAATATGTCAGTCCTTCCAAGAACATTTTTATCATTTTAAATACTTTTTTTTAAATCCTGTCCCTTCATCAACAGTTCAAAGATGGAATAACACAAGATATGATGAAATACAAACATTTATTTACATGATTTTTGGGTCTTTGAAATTTGGGAAATAATTTTTGTTCCATGTTTCATTCATGGTCTGTTTAAAACAGATGGAACTTTAGAACCAAAAATGGAACAGAAAAAAAGGTCAACAGTTTCATAAACTAGAGGACATATGTATCTGTTCAATACACTTTTATATCAGGATGAATGTTTACTTCTGCTTGACCTTGGCCAGTAGTTTGTTTTTCACAGTATTTTTTTATTTATTTTTTTTGTCTGTAGTTTGTTTTTTGTTTTTTTGTGTAGTTTGTTTTTTTTTTTGTGTTGTAGTTGTTTTTTTTGTCTGTAGTTTGTTTTTGTCTGGTTTGTTTAGAATTTTTGTCTGGTTTGTTTTTTGTCTGGTTTGTTTTTTGTGTGTGTTGTTTGTTTAGAATGTTTTTGTGTCTGGTTTGTTTTTTGTGTGGTTTGTTTAGAATGTTTTTTGTCTGGTTTGTTTAGAATGTTTTTTGTCTGGTTTGTTTAGAATGTTTTTTGTGTGGTTTGTTTTGTGTGTGGTTTGTTTAGAGCACAGGGCCGCCCGCGCTCGGCTGGAGCCTCAGATTATACTGTTGGTATTCGAGTCATGACGCAGCCATCATCATATTCAAGCTCTGGAAGAGGAGAGGTCACCCGCTCCAGAGCGATTCCCCCGACACAAGCCATGAAGCACACAATGGAGCGGGAAAGAGTGTACGGCGCCGCTCGTCATTTTGAACGGAAGAGCAGCCTCACCCCGGGACTTTGCCTATGCGCCGCACACAAAACAGCGGGACTCGCAGACAGGAAATAGAGGGGTCGCGCCATAAATTATTTGGACTTAAACTGTGTACAGTGGAGTAAGATGGGATTCACGCTTTGCTCGGTGTCCACATAAAACCAGGCAGTGTTCTCGTAAATAAAAAATATGTCATCTCCAGCTCTTTGATTGCCATTTCCAGCCGTCATTGCACAAAGAAGCAGAAGGAAAGTAGAGGCGCTGTGCTGAAAGGAGATAATGCCCCAGCCCAAAAACAAGCAGCTTCAGTGGTGTCAACAACGCCTAATTTGACTTGTTTTCTGAACGCCTTCCATTTGAGTCTGTTCTTTTTCTCGGCGTTTTGCTTGTGGCTGACTTCAGCGCGAGGCCGTCTGCGCCTCTTGACCTCGAGAGCTTCGCACGCAGAATAAGAGGGAGAGAATAAGAAGGTCAGAGTAAAAAGGACAGAATTAGAAGGACAGAATGAAGCCGTGTCAGAGCCGCGGGTTTAATTAGCGCGACAGTAAAACCCACGTGAACAATACTTAGAGGGACAACATCTGTGTAACACCTTCTTTTATTTTCCTCTTGTACAGATTATCAAATGACCCATTTCGTGCGCTGGTTCGAGCTGAAAGAGGAGGAGCGGTGGATGTGGCGGACACAGCGTGATAAAGGAAAGTCCATCTGTTGACACTATTAGGAGTAATTTTGACCCTCTTGTGCTTAATGATGCGTGCGGCGGTGTGAAGGGTTGCCGCGGGCGATGACTGCAGATCTACATGTCTTTAACCTCTCTGTGTAAACGCTCAAAGAGGCCCCGGGGCATTGTGGCTCGGGGCCCCGCAGAATGGGGCCCTGTGTGTTTGGACTGAGTCTCTGCTCTCAGGCTCCGTCTCTTTCTTTTGTAACTGCTGGCATTATTTTCACAACACATGGCTTTTATGTGAAGCACGCTCACGCTGAGCATATTAAAACAAGCAATAATTAACAAAGTGTGTGTCTGTTTGAGAAATGGGCCTCCACATTACACTGCAAACCCATTTGAAGTAATAATACAAATATTAAACTTACACGGGAATAATGGAGTGAGATAAAATAAAGCATTTGGAGCTTATTACTAATACATGGCTTTATAATTTTCATAAGAGTCTGAGTTATGGCCCCAAACACAGAGAACGGAGGTGATCTGTTCTCTTCACGAGAGCCGGAGCCGCAGCGATTACGACGCGTGTTTGTGCATTAATGAGAGTTATAGCTCAAAATACACGTTTATGTTGGGACATCCTTTTAGACGGTGGCACGAGCGCGAGTAATAGCGACGCCATTAAAAATGCATATGTACGAGTGTAATTAACAGCTCGTGTTTGTAATGAGTCAGTTTGTGGAGGAGACGCAGGGACGCAGCTCTTTGATTAAAAGAGTTAGTGTAGAATAAAGCCGCGTAAAGTGTTGTGTCCATATGGCCCCGGGGCCCGAGGCTGGACCGTCCTCACACCGTCTCCACGGGCCCCAGCTGCTCCGACACACACACGCATGTCCCTGCCTCGCCACAATTACAGGCCTTGGCCCAGGTTCAGCC